ACAGGAATATAGTATAGAAAATTTATATTTAGTTTAAATATAAAGTTCTAGTACTTCTGATTTAAATAATAAAAGCAGGATCGCCAAAAAAAAAATAAATTAAAATAAATTAAATTAAATTGTTTATAAATTTTAATTAATTAATATTGCGGATGATGCTAAAAATGAATGATGATGAAAATTATATAATCACATGATAATCTTCAACCTAGCATTACTATCACTGTTGGTGTTAGAGTTAGGGTTAGGATATGGAAGGTTTTTTTTTTATTTTGCATATATTACCTCTAATTCTACTAGGATAACTAAAATATAACCATATCCAAACCCTAACATTAACGGTAAAATTTTTTAGTTGGTAATACTAGGGTTCTATAAGCACTTTAGGTTTGTTTATACGTTTGTTTATATGGAAGATCATCATGTAATCACATAATTTTTATCATCATCTATTTTTAGCATCATCTGCAACAATTAATATAATAAATTTAGAAATATAAAGAATAATAATTATTGTTATAAAGCAAAAGAATTTATGTATAAATTACCACAATGCGAAAATAAAATTAAAGTAGATAAACTTTTTAAACAACTTATTAATTTAAATTTAAATATTAAAGGTAAATATAATTATTTAATTTAAATTAAATTTTATTTTTATCTATATTAATTATAAAATTATTATTTAGATTGGGTTGAGTTTTATAGTAAAAATTGGGTTTTAGCTTTATTAAATCTGATATTTTCTGAAATTTCACTTGATACTTAGTATAAAACTCCTCATAATACAAATGTTTTCTGAAAGTTGTCATACTAAAATCAACAAATATAGAACAAATCTTAATTTAAAAATTGCTATTGAAAGGTAATTTTTTTTTAAAATTTAAATTTTATAATAAATAATATTTATTAAATTATATTTTTAGAGCAAGATTGAATAATAATAAAACTTTTCATGCTTTTGAAATTCATAATAAAAGTAGCATTGCAATGTATAAATCTAATCATGGAATTATATCAAGAGCAATAAAATCAATTAAAAAAACTAGTAAGTTTTTATTTGTATTTATTATAAATAAAATTTTTTTTTTTTTTTTTTTTTTGTGTTAAGGTGGCCTTTTGGCCGGCTCCTTTTATTTGGTTATAGTTAACTTTACAATATGCGTTTATAGCATCTCGTATACATATTTGGAGAG